GTACTGAGTTCAACTATACTTATGAAAGGGTGTCAATATATTCTGATAGGTTTCCATGGATCTGAAATCCCTGGTTCCTCCAACTGCTGGTTAGATTATTCACTTCCCTCTTTTGACTGGACTTTCAGCTATCAGTAGTTTTATGTCATTACTGAGGATATTTGAAACACTATGGATGAACGGCGCCTGTCTTAAGTGTTGGATAGCATTTAGGCTTTTAAACTGGCTTTTTAAATTATGATTTGCATCAAACATACATGTGTTTTTTTTTTGCTTGTTTCCATTATGTTGTTCTTACTTGGTGTGTATGTGCCTCTAATTTTCCAGTCAATTTATGGTGACTCTATGAATGTCTTAAGATTTTCTTAGCCAAGATTAATCAGAGGTAGTTTGCCTTTGCCCTCCTCTGAAATGCAATCTATAACATTTGAGGCCTATTCACATTGCACAATTTTGACCATGTTATTCTACTTAACGGCTATGGAATCACGAGATTTAGTTTGGTGAGGCACAATAGGACTTTGAAGTCTGAATGCCCCTCTCTATGCTGCAAATTTCAAGATGCCATAGAATAATAGAGTTGGAAGAGACTTCGTGGGCCATCCAGTCCAACCCCTGCCAAGAAGCAAGAAAATCGCATTCAAAGCAACCCTGACAGATGGTCATCCAACCATCTGTCAGTCCCATGATAGTTGGTCCCATGCTAGGATGGTCCCATGCTAGTTGAAGTGATGTGTAACACCACTATGGTAGTGTGGATGGGCCATTGGTATTCATTGGTGGTCTCTCATCCGTATATTAATCAGACCTGACTCTTCTTAATTTGTAAGATCAGATGAGATGTGGTACCTTTGGGATATTTAGGCTTATCGCTGTCCGTTACTGACAGCACTTCTTAACTCTTCCTTCTTTGAACCATTCATGAAGTATTTATAAATAAAATGGGGCATAATCTTTGAAGTTAGGAGATCTGTTTCAAATCCCATTTAGGTGTGCAGCTTCTTGCTATCTTTGGAGCTTGGCAGGGTTACTTTTTTGGATTGCAACTCCCAGAAATCCCTAAGCTTTATAACCAGTACCTTTTGGGAATTGGAATCAGATAAGTAGATTTTCCAAGCTCTTGCTTCCATTCTGTATATTAGAAATTAAAATGACCAGTCACCTAGTATTACTGTAATGGTAAACATAAGGGAAAAAGTCAGTAAAACAATTAAATGTAATAACACTCTGAATAATGTAAGAGAAAAGGGCCTGAGGCCTGAGGAGTGAAATAAGTACAGAACTAAAACTATCTACCTCAGAAGACCTCTTCCTGCCTCTGTCCATTTAGAATAGATGCTTTAACAATTCATCTAAGCAAGCAAACAATATATTATGAAAACTTGATGTTTTCGTGAAATCTAAAAATACCCATAATAAATCCATCTGGGTTGTTGTGAGTTTTCCGGGCTGTATGGCCATGTTGAAGAAGCATTCTCTCTTGATGTTTCACCCTCATCTATGAGCCCCCGGTGGCGCAGTGGGTTAAACCCCTATGCCGGCAGGACTGAAGACCGACAGGTTGCAGGTTCGAATCCGGGGAGAGGTGGATAAGCTTCCTCTATCAGCTCCAGCTCCTCATGCAGGGACATGAGAGAAGCCTCTCACAAGGATGATAAAAAAAATCAAATCATCCGGGCGTCCCCTGGGCAACGTCTTTGCAGATGGCAAATTCTCTCACACCAGAAGCGACTTGCAATTTCTCAGGTCACTCCTGATACGACAAAAACAACAACAAAAAACCCTCATCTATGGCAGACATCCTTAGAGGTTGAGGGGCCTGTTGGAAACTAAGTAAGGGAGGTTTATATATCTGTGGAATTCCTGAGGATTCCTGCCATAGATGTGGGTGAAATGTCAAGAGAGAATGCTTCTGGAATATGGCCATACAGTCTGGAAACCTCAGAACCACCCAGTGATTCTGGCCATGAAAGCCTTCAACAACACATAAATCCATCTGTTAGAGAAGACCAAACAATTCAAATGAACCATATTTACTGGAGACTGAAAATGGAAATATCTGTCCTCCCCTCTTACATTCTCTACTTTTGAAGTTTCCATATTTTTCAACCACATACTCAGAGCAAACATAGACTTGTTGCTTTTAGACCTTAAAGGACCTCCAGTCACTTCCATATGGGCTCTCGTCTCTCAGGGATTACTCCATGAAGAAAAACAAGTCTTTTGCTTCAAGTTCCCAGACCCACAAACCCACATAAACAACAAGCAAGTTATATTAAAAAAATCTTTATTTCATGTACCAGGATTTTTGTGTGTAATTTTCTTCTTTTTAAAATTTTTCTTTTTAACAGTCTGAAAAAAACACAAAATAAAGAAAATGGAGGTTTGTTTCTTGAACTGGTTTGAGCTGAACATAAGCAGTATCCTTGGAAAAAAATATCTCCATCAATCTGAGTCCTCCTTCTTCTTTCCCCCCCACTTTCACCCTCCCTCGCTCACACATACACATGCATATGCATGTATACACACACGCACACATACACACCGCACATGCATTCATCTGTATTCAATCAAAAATGCTCAAGAACTTTACAGTTATCAAGTTCTTGAAAGCAGCTTTGGGATTTAAACCAACAATTCCATCCTTTGCCTATGCTGGAGTACAGGAAACTGGTTTAAACTCATTGCTGGGACTTTGGATAATGGTCTTATTTAACCCTTTCGGCCCTTTGCATTGTTAAGAGGATTGCAGGCTGAGGTTTGGGATTAAGCAGGAATTCTAGACATTCACTACAGAATGGGGTCTTCCATATGGGTCCCTATTGTCACCCAAGCTGTCTTGGGGCTCTTCAGCCATGATGGACCTCTCCTGCAGATGCCTGGGGAGAATTCATTCTGCCACCGGCTCAGCATTCCCACATAACGCTCACTCACCCTGCCCTGGGAAGGACTCAATTCTCCTCTGTAAGAGAAGAAACATGGGAGAAAGCAACATTAAACTTGGCAGCCATGCTCAGTATGTCTTTTTTTTTCCTGATCCCATTTAGTTTTCTGCAGGAGCTGAGCAGTGGTGGGAAGCAAAGACTCTTTGAACCCGAAGGATACCAATTTGAATAGGAAGAATCTACAAATTAGAGTCCTCTTAGCAAACCAGCTCTAGCCTAAAATCTTGCCCCTTCAAAGGCATTGGCCTTCTCATTTGGTCCAACCCAGATTTGCACTTAAAAGCTAACTCTTTGCCTCATGCTAGCAGAACCATAATCTTTGCTTGACCCACCCATCATTTCTTTTTTCAGTCCTGGCCCATCTTTACCTCTCAGGAGCAATGTTAAGAGAGGCAATGGGTCCTCACACCGCATTGGCATTCAGCACAATAATCATAACTTAAGAAGCAGTGGGACCAATGGTATGGTGATTTGAACATTTACCGAATGTTGCTTCCTGTGAGGATTGCAATGAGGGTAGCGGGAGAAGTTATGCGAGGTGCATGGATGCAAATAGAAAGAACTGCAACTGAATCAGTGATGATAAGTAAAGAAGGTCAAGCACGTGACCAGGAAGGCTGATTTTAATACTGCCCTAGAGCATCTACATCCTTGCTTCATAATGAATGCAGACAGCTTAACAAGCAAAAACTTTGGATTAGGTGGTCCAGGCCTGTCAGCAAAGTAGAAATGGGAAGTTTAGTCTCTTAAGACTGCAGATATTGCCCCTTCCACACAAAACAGATACATAAGATGCATCTGTTGCAACGAGCTGCAGTAAATGCTTGCAACGAGCTGCAGTAAATGGGAACATGGAACCTGCTACCACCACTCTTCTTGCTACTCAGCTATTGAAGGCCCTGGAGCTCCTTACAGATAATTGTAGGACTGCTGTAGCTTTTAACAAAGGCTCTTTACAACCATAAATGACAGCAGGAGTCATCAGGAGAAGAGGACCAAGAGGCTTTTGATGGAAAGTTTGGGCTTAGGGAATATTTGTAGGACTCTCTTCCCGTGTGCCTTTATGCTGCCACCTTGTTCCTTTCCAAGGACTCACCAAGGTAGACTGCACCATATGTTATGCTTTCCCTTCTCTTTGGCACAGATGTTCTTAGTGGGAGGAGGATGAAATGGACCCTCTATGGAAATTGGACTTTATGGGTCATCCTTCTCTTTCTGCTGCAAGTTGTAGCATTGGCTGATTCCATGGGGGACAACCTATCTCCTTGGACCTCAAACACAGTTTAGAAGATATGAGAAGTTGCAATTTCTCCCATCCTGTGCTGTGGTGGTGGGGAAAATCTGGACCCAGCAAAATTCTTCCTCCTGTATTCTTAAAGACACAAGGCCAGAAGGGTCCCAAACTGATCATGGCAATCATGCAGGTGGCTCTCTTATGTAAGGCAGGGTGAGCCAACAGCTACCTGTGGTGACTGGCAACAGAATGAAACCGGGGAATCGCTTTGTAGGATGTCCTTGTCATTGGAGCTAAATCTTGGTTGGTGTGCATGGGAGGGATGCTACAGTTAAATCTGGCAAGAAGGCCTGTCCTTGAAACAGGAAAGCTAGTAACGTAAACAAAATGGAAGTCAGCAGCAAGTAGGGACCATCTTGCCTGTCTGCTTCTTTTTCGAGCCTTGGAGGGAAGGCAGAGAGAGGGCGGCACATTTGCCTTCCCCAAGAGGAAATGTGAGCAGAGGTCTCCAGCGCCACGTTTCATCCTTGTTTGGTGTCCCGAACCCAGCATTAGCAGCATCTATCTCTCCTTGGCAGGAGATCGCTTTCCCCCAAGCCCAATGTTCTCGTGGCCAGTGAGGGAAATGCACCCTACTCCAAGCAGCTGACCAAGTTCTAGGAGTCTTTTAAAAGTTCCTGTTGTTTGTCATTGAATGGATTCAATTTCCATTTTCTCCTTAGAAGCCTCTCAACCCCTAAGAATTTATTTTTCACAGTTTTCAAGCTGGAAAAAAGAAAAGATGAAAAGAAAAAATACTAACTGGCTTTCTTGCAAGTAAATCCACTTATTATATTTACATTTATTTATAGTTAGTTTTCTTTTATTAAAAAATTGCCACTTTTTTTATGAAGCTTTTTTTCGTTTTTTTGCAATGTCACTGTTTAACCCCAGGACAGCCACACAGTAGTGAGGCTGAGTGGATCAGCCTGAACTTTCTGAGACCTAGAAATGAGTGAATCAGCATTAACCCTTCGAACCCTCAAGGGCAGAAAGGTTACTGTTAAGCCCTGTGGACCTGACAAGGACGTGTTGAATCACCAGCCACTCCAAGGGCTGCAGGGAGTGACTTCAGGCAGGCCCCAACACAACTGTGCAGAAAGGCATTTGCAGAGACACCAACGTCACTGCATGTTCACTACTGCCTGGAGATGCTCAGGAACCTGCAAGTCCACAGTGGGTTAAAAGCAGAAAGAAAACAAACTAAAAAACAGAACAAAAGAAAAACAAACTTAAAGAGTACCCCCACCCCCAAATCCAAAGAGCTGCCACCTCTTCTTCCCACTTGGTTTTTAAAAATTATTATTCATTTTTTGTTATTTCTTGGTTCCTTTTTTAAATCTGTTTTTATTAAATGTTAAAATAATGGTACATGGGAAATCATGCATTTTCTTTTAAATTTATTTTCTATTTTTAATATTTTTAAATTTATTTCTCTTGATTTTTTAAAAAGTTTTCCCCCCTTTTTCTGTTTTTTTTCAGCATTTTGTTTCTTTTTGGAAGTTTCACTTATGTTTTTCTTTTCTTTTCTTTTTGTTTTTTGCGTTTGGAAGGTTTCCCCATGGTTGCTTTCTCCTCTCCCCACCCCGCTGCCCTCCCCTGCTGCTCCCTCCCTTCCTGCACCCAAATCCCACTCCCACCTTCCCCGCCCCCCATTTTCAGCCCCCTCTCGACGGCTTCATACAGGGGTGGTCCGGCGGTTGGCTGTGTTAGTGTGGATAGAGTCCTTGTTTTCTTTTTGGATACAGTTGTGAACTTGGAGGAAGCTGTTATCCCTGTCTGAATTGTAGGTGGCGGTAGGGGTAGTAGCAGCCTTCATGGGGTCCCTGGTCAGGGTATACATCGAGATCTCCGTGGAGGGGAGGGTGTTGAACCCTTTGATCCCGACAGGAGAGGCATCCCTGGAGTGTGAAGGCTCAGTGGAACGGGAACTGGAGCGACTGCGTCTCTGATAGCGGTAGCGGTAGCTGGGTATGCGGGTGATGGCAGAGGACTGGAGGTAGTCCGTGGCATGAGCACTGGCACGCAGCTGTTTGTGCCGGTCAATAAACATGTGTACGGCCAGCACTCCCACCATCTCGGCTATAATGAAGGACAGGGCTCCGAAGTAGAAAGACCAGCCGTAAGAGTAACTGTTCTTCTTGGAGTCACTTTTCGAGGGGTCTCCAGCATTGGCTGATATGTACACAATGATGCCAATTATATTACTCAGACCTGAGAACAAAGGGCAAAAGAAAAGAAACCATTAGAGTTGGAAAAAAGAGATCCCACCTAATTGCATGACCAACACCTGCTTGAGGGTGGAATAAGTTGCATGGCAGAGTGGTGGGCTCCCCTTCTTTGGAATCTCAACAGAGGTCGGGCTCCATGTTATGGGAATTAGGTTGGACTTGAAGGATCTTGCGGTCCCTTCCAACCAGATGGTTGTGCATTTCTATGAATGATTATTAGGGGGTCCCCTTGGTACCATAAGTATTAATTGGGGAAGTCTGATTGTCATAGGGTGTCTACTGTGTTTTGCTCCTCAGTTATTTTAAGAGAAACCTATCATCTGCTGGTGAGACCCAAAATCACACGATCCTATTCATAGCAACTGAACAACACAGCTACTTAGGTAGCTTTTGTGTAATTCATCTGATAGTCTAAAATGATTGTCTTGTGCTAATATGGCCCTGTGTTGCACATCTGCAAAGGGGAACCTGTGCATAAGTTCATGCAAGTGTGTAGCCATGCTGCACATTTAGGGCATATCTCTATTAAACTCTACTTCCTACTGCTGTATTACTGGGGGCTTGCACACATGATGTGGGCCCTCTTTATGCATCCCGAACTTGGGAAAGTTACTTCTAGGTATTACCACTTCCAGGATCCTCTCACCAGCATGGACACTACATATTGGCAGTTGTACTTTAAAAGATAACTTTCCCAAGTTCTGGCGTATATCATACATGAAGGGGGGCTACAACCTGTTGGTCAGGTTGGGTACCATACTCTTTCAAAAAGGTGGTGAAAAATGGATAAGGTAGTTCTTTACCTTATAAAAATGATGGCGTCAAAGGCCTGTATATATAATGAAAACAAGTAAGAAGGCTTATACATTACTAAGGAGCTTGCTAGTGAATATGTGGGGGGACTGCATCACACACACACACCCCTTTAGAGCTCTTCTTAGCCAAGGCCAATCCAGTATTATCTTCTGTTTCTCTATAAAGTAAGTCCCATTAGCTCTACCCAACCCAGCCAGTGATATAGACAGCTAGGAGCTGCAGTTCAACATCTAAAGGGCCCCAAATGTAAAGAAAGAAAGGTTCCTTATGCATTGTTGAAGAAGGGAAGGATAGTTTTATGATAAGCTAAACATCTTCAGAGTCATTGGGCTGTGGTACAGAGAATTGTTGGCGCTTCCTGATTTCTTCCTTTCTTTTAATCCCACAATCACATTCTGCACAGAACTCACAAACATGATGGGCATGCTAGCTGGTGAAAAAACCTACCCTTCCAAATGGGCTGGACATCTACTACATACACACATACACAGAATGGCCACACAGAATCCATTTAAAGCACAAAAACAACAGAAGACTTCTGTGTCACCCGAAGATTTATTTATTTTATTGCATGAGCGTCCGTGAACAATTGCTCACTCTCTCAGATGCAAGATTGCAAAAGAAATGACTTTATTGATGCTCTCCTTTCTGTCCATTCCATGCTGACTTCAAAGAATTCAGAGCAGTATACATGTCCTCTGTTTATTCTGGCAACAACCTCTGAAGCAGTGTAGATTCATTGGAGAGTGGTTAATCACCATGTTGGTGGGGTGGTGAACCTGCTTTCAATGATAACCTGAATTTTAAGGAGCTTGCCTATCCCCAAGAATGCCCAGTACCCAAGGCAGATCCTTTACAGTTTGGACTTAAAGGCAGAGCTGACATGGGAGCTTAGAGCTTCAGCCTTAGACTGAGACTGGGTTGGCTTAGTGTCACCAAGTTGGATTGCTGGCGGAGTAGGGATTCAAAGCTATGTTTGTCTAAGCTAAACTGGTCACTGTAACCATTTCCTAGTACTAGTTTTTTTATGGCTTCAGTTTTGTATCTCGTTTTGTTTTGGATTTGTAAAGTGACTGACTAGGTCTACCAGATAACCTTTATATATTTTAGTACTCTACTAGAGCAATCTTCCCCTGCTATCACATTGTCCTGATGTTTTAGATTCTTTCATCTTCCACCAGTAACCATTTGATGGCAGGAGATGATGGGGATTATAATTCAGCATTATCTACAGGAGGTCACTTTTTGGAAAATTGTACTGGAATATTCGCTACTTGGATAGAAGCACAGGAGTAGGAGGAATAAAAACAGGATATGTGGTTTCGGCTTATCCAATCAAGGCTGTAAATTTGCTCCAAAATCAAGTTTTGTCAAATAACTTCCTCCCATTACCATCTTGGTTCCATAGGTCTTACTATAGTAATGTTTTAGGTTTCTCTCACAGTTTAAGAGATAGTGGTATCTAGGTGTAAATTCTGCAAAATCTAAATGTAAGCCCAGGTTTTCTTTGTTGGAAAGCAGTGGAGATTGAAGACACATCAATGTTTTGCATTATATAAATACCTGGTTATCAATCACAGTGCATGACAGAGCTCTGGTACAAATTCTATGAAGTGTTGTGGTCCTGACATTAATGTAATTGTGTTGATTGTGCACATCTTCTAATGGCAAAAATACTTTATATAAATAAATGAAAGATGATTCTAGAAGGTCCACTATTAAAGACCTGGGACTGTTAGAATTCTGTGAACTCTGTAAAGCAATACACTGCCATATTTAGGTTTCTTCCCTCATTGATGGAAGAGGGTGGGTGCGTGAGGAGCTGGATCAGCAGGAGAAGCATGAAATGGTATGAACTGTGGTTGTGGTAGGGATGGTGGACACATATAGGCATAGCCATTGGTCCAAGAGTCTTGCTGATTGACACACAGAGATAGCCACAAAGATTCCTCAATGATATGTTTTCGATTGTAATATTTTTGAAAGGATACAGAAGATGGAAAATTTGTACCATTTCCCCTTCTATTTCTGCTCTGGATGTACTTGCCACTTTAACCAAATGGCATGTTAACATGTGTTTTCAATGGCTGTTTCCAAAATGACGCATCCTAAAGAAGCAACTAAATTAGTACTTCATCTTGATAAGCTGCTCTGACAAAAGTGCCAATCTTTGGGCTTTGTTCCAGGAATGTGAATGTGCCATTAAGGATGTCATAACATACACCCAATGTCCTAGTGAACTGGGGCCCTTCAACATGCCACTGTTAAAATATTATGTTTTCAGTGTAACTGTGATTACCATATCCTATGAACTCCTGGGATTTACAGTTTATGGAGGGGCAGAAGGACAAGTGTGTGGCTCAAAATTTAGTGGGATGTTGAACTTATGCCAAGGAGGAAGCATACCATAGAATAGCTTGAAGTTTCTAACAAATTCCTAGTGAGATCTTGATAGGTGTTTGGACTGGGTGACTCCTGTAGTCTCTTCCAACTTTGTGTTTCTAAATTTCTATGGCGGAGGCTGTGTGTGTCAATGACATGCAATCAAAATTCATCATTGGATGCAATTACGCACCACAATAATGAGCAAGTAGAAGTAAAATCCATAGATTATGGGACAGCCCATTGTAAATAAGCAAAGTCTATATAGATGCTACAGCATTTTTAGAAGGGAGTCAAAAGGTTCCTGTATCACTTTGCTGAAATTCTAGGCCTGCTTTTCACAACCCAACTCCCTCCAAATGTGCTAGAAGACATTCCTCAACATTACTACTCAGTCTGGCCAGTGATGTGTTGGCTGGGCCGATGGTATTTGTAGTCCACACAATGCGTTATGGACCTAGATTAGAGAAGGTTCCCCTAATGTTTTAGACCAGTGGTTCTCAGCCTGTGGATCCCCAGGTGTTTTGGCCTACAACTCTCAGAAATCCCAGCCAGTTTACCAGCTGTTCAGATTTCAGGGAGTTGAATGCCAAAACATTTGGGAACCCCCAGGTTGAGAACCACTGTCTTAGACTATACTCATTCTAACAGCAGTTGTAAATTCTCACCATCAAATATTTTGCCATGCAAACAGGCAAGCAATAATTCCTGAATCTAGAAAGAGAGTATAATATGGTGAAGGCTAGGTTGGGGCACTTTTTCTTTTAATCCGGTTTTCTGTATTTTCTTTATAGAGGGATGTAGAGAAACATTCCATCAAGTCAGTCTCCACTTTCAAGTAAACGCGCACAGCCTAGACACAGGTCCAGCCCTTCAGTGACAATGAGATTTGAGATACCAAACCAGTCTTGTTCATTCTTCTGAGCTCGTTCTTTTCATTCTTCAGTCTTGCAGGCAATGCATAAATAATGAAAAGCTGTTGGCTTTCTGAACTCTTTTTGAAAAAGGGAATTCTGCTGGTGATAAATGTAAGCAAATCTGTGACTAAAGGAGGATGATAATGATAAGAAGCAGCACTATTTATCTGCTGTGCTTGAAACGAAGCACCACTATCTTTTGCATTGGCCCACTGTAGAGCCTGCAAAAATTATTTCTGGACAGCTCTTAAGATACCTTGGGCAGTACGGTCACTACCCCTCCTAGAATCTCCCAGTGATTTTGGGAGTGGAACTACAAAAAAGTAACAGTTCCCAGTTGTGACCAATATCCTCCTAATATCTAGTTTAGGATTCAGATGAAAATAGAGAAAGGTGACTTTCCCCCATGTCTTTTATGAAGCCAAATAAGCAATGGTTTTCTCTACCAGTCAAATGGGCAGTGGAGGAAGTGGGATGACCAAGCTAGCTTCATTCCCTTATCAATGTTCATAATTTTGCTTATTTTTCCAGTCATGACAGATGGTCTAAGTAAATGCCAGAGGGGGGAAATTACATGTGCTGGCTTACAATGTATCTCATGCTATTGTGTCATGCTTTACTGTGAGTGATGAGGTGGACAGGAAGAAAGCACCTTGTATATCACAGACCAGTGGCTTATAGAGTTCAGAGAGTTTTCAAACAACATGTTTTAAAAATTATTATTTTTTGGCGGATTTTGAGAAATGACAAAATAAAGAGATGTTTTAAAGTTTCAAACTGGGACACTAACTACCTGGGATGGGATAGGGAGGGTGGGAAATAAGACTGTTTACTGTAAAAACAAACTTCACATATTCTACATTTCTGAAGCCACATTTGGATGATTATGATGTTGATGATTGTATTTTTTTATCTCACCTTTCCTGGGACTAATAACTCGAGATCAAAGAAGCTACATGCATGGCTGTGTTGCATCCTCCTATGCCCTGTGGTGCATATATTTATTTTAAAGCATTTATGTACCTTCCTTCATCATATCAGATATCATGGCAGAGCAGAGTACACTTCCCAATAGTCTGGCACACCTCTAAGGTAAAGAACCAGATGGCAATCTGGCTCCAATTCCATACACAGAAGTTAACCAGAATATTACCTATACAACTGCCTATTACCTCAGCACTGGCAAGGCAACAGGACCCTCCAATGCAGCCAAAGACAGCTAAACTGGCAAAGGGGTAAGGGAAGGTCACATGTGGCACATGTCTTTCACTTTGCCACTATTCCCATGCACCCGAGCATTTGTTGCCTGAGTCCTGTGTCACACTCTAATGATAAGGCTGACCCCACCTCTTTCCAAAAGATGTAAGATCTGTAGCTGATCCCCAAAACTACAAGCTGGAAGAAGAGTGAAGCTGTAGGGAGCTAAACTGTGGATACAGATTAAATTGGCCCTTTGTTTTGTTCTAAAAATTGGGCTTCCTACCTTCAGCTCTGTACACAATTGGAGCAGAATTAAATTGAATCAGGGTTCCTCCACTGCTGTATCTGAGGTCTTTTCAGACTATATGATCACAGCCATAATGCTCCCACTTGAATTACGATGACTGGATTTCATGGGATCTTGGGGAAATCCTAGAGCTCTCTCTAGCTAAGGATTCTACCCTCCCTTAACTGCAAATTCTTGGATGTTGCCATGGCAGTTATGATGGAATGACAGTGCTATAATTGTGTAGTGTGAAAGGCTCCTGGTTTGACCCTTGCCTGAAAGGGGGATTATGACCTCCCAATATGGATAGCTATGCATTCTCTCCCCCTGTGGTTTATAGATTCTCTAAATTAAATTAATTTAAATGCAGAAATAAGTGGCTGTCATTGTACCTGCACAAATGTTTATGACCTCTCCTTTAACCTTTTGACCTCTCTGAGTGCCCTCCCTCTGTCACTTGTGATTCCCCGCCACATTTTTTTAACCCCATAGATGGGCAGCCCGCTTGTCCCTCCTTTACCTGCAGACACGAAGAAGATGCCGGCACTAAGGATGATGTTATGTCGGGTTTTGTAGAACTCGCTGGCTGCAATGCAGAGTCCACCCATGAAAAGCAGAATCACACTCAGGATCGGAAAAATACTAGAGGCCCTTACAGCCCCTGTAAGCAAAGAAGAGGTGGGGTGGGGTTGGAGGGGGCATTGGGATGGGAGGAGAGGAAGGGGAGGAACGATGGCGTGTGTATGAGCCAAGGGGAAGGGAAGAGAAACAGATGGGAGAAAAGTGGAGCAGGAAGAGACAGGAGGGAGGAGGGCGAGGGTTGCAGTGGAGATGAACAAAAAAGACAGAGCAAAGAAGCACAGGAATTGGAAGGCCGGTGATGAGGAGACAGGAGGAGGAAAGAGAAAGAGAGCGTCAACAGAAGAAGAGAGCGATTACAAATGAACTGTCAACATCTTGTTTATTAGAAACCAGCAGTGCACTTAGGGCGGGGAAAGAACAGTCAAACGGCATCTGGTTGTGGGCAAAGTTGACTAGGGTTCTTTATGCATCCAGAAAACCCAAAGGCACCTCTCTCTCTCTCACCAAACAGGCAGGGAAATCTAAAGGCCAGAAAACTACCGTCAGTGCAGTATGATCTTCGGCACATAGGCGACAACTACAATCGGTGGAGACATTGTGGGGAAATAAATAAAAAAGAAACCACACAGACATTCTGCAGAAGAGGAGGTGGAGGACGTTCCTAAGGGAGTCAGAAAGAGCAATCCTTGCATGCATTGCAGACGTACACTTGAGGAAAACATATATGCATTGCACATAAATGAAGCCAGGGTCCTATGTGCTCTATCTCACCCATCCCATCCTCATATATTCCAGCCAGCAGATGGCAGTAGCATGCAGATATTTAACAGACATGTACACACACGTGCCCATCCCACCCTCCCAACACTGTGTTTCAGGTTGAGACATGTAGAATATGGGCATCTCTGCTCATTGCAGTTGCTGTTGGAAAGATGATGCTTCATTTAGAGTTTTCTGTAGCAAATAGGTAAAGTGTGGATATTTCCCAGATATATACGTAGATATAAATGCACACATACACGTCCATGTATGAGGGACCCCTGGTTGAACTATGTATCCAGGAGTACATGAGGTGTCGTCTGTTTTACATAGGGGTTGTGCGGAACATCAGGCTTAATCATTTGTTGTTGTAAACATGGTTTGTATTACAAACATCTAAAGTGTTTACTAATGCTCTTTAGACCAAAATTCAGTGCACACTGAAAATCAAGTAAAATGTATTCATCCAACCTTTTCTAACCACCTTCATTGTTTGAAAAAATAAAGGCATGATAAAATGGATCAATTCACTGCATATTCTTCAAAACATTAAAAATGCCATTAAAAATACAAGTATTCCTAGGAAAGAATGAACTTAATTTTAGTCTGTTCTGATTAGTTCTCACAATCATACAGCAAGACCTTTCAAATCTTCTGCTTTTTTTTTTTGCTTCCTCCACCCTAAGTTATTATCACTAATTGTTAGATGCATGCCCCTTTGATGCCATACCAAAACAGTTGTGATGATGCAGGGAAACAAGGAAACTTAGAGGAGACAATTTGGTAAAAGGAAATGGTTAGTAGAAGCGGCTTTTTTTTTAACCTGGGAGGACTATAAGGATTCTAAGCTAATCTGTGCATTTGGTTAATTGATTTAATGGAAAATGCCACAGACACATCAAGTTAAGTCAGTGCCCCAGTTTAATAAGGGAGATGTGAGTAAGGAATTAGGCTGACTTGCCAGCATTACAGGGCTGTGACTATCTGGAATTTGACCCTTAGACTAGTAAATATGCTGAGGAATGGACAGACATTGGGTTACTAACATTGGGTTAATAGTATGAGTGTCCTAGAAATATCTATAATAATCCTTCACTGATGCTACATATCAGTTTAAACAGCAGTTGAACTATAGCACCTATAACATGGATGAGCAGATTGTTGCTTTCAGGTGTTGGACTGCAACTCCCATGATGGAGTTGGCGGAAGCTCCTTCCCTGAGCTTTTTAAACGGGCTAGTTGGCAATCTGTTGGGGATACTTTGATTGTGCTTTTCCTGCATGGCAGGGGGTTGGACTAGATGGCCCATGCGGTCTCTTTCAACTTTATTATTCTATGATTCTATGATCCATCACCATTAGCTAGCTTGACTTGGGCTGATGGGACTGTCAGTCCATCTGGAAAGCCCAGTTTCCCAGTCCTACTCGACCATAACAGTCTTGAATTGTATATAATGTCGGAAGTTGAGCCTCATATGGCTCTGTAGTCAAGTGAAGAAAACTGCAGTGAAACCCTCTAACTACACATGCCTGTGGGTCAAATCTGGCCTGTCATGTTATTTTATTTGGTCCACAAGGCTTTCAATGCCAGAGCAACATAGCTACATTTATAGTCTTACAATTACAAATGGCCCTTTGAGGGCAACTATAAGGCTGATGTGGCCCTCAGCAAAAATGGGTTTGACACTCCTGCTCTAACCCTTGTGTCAACTCATCAAAAAACATTGATTTGCTTACAAATCTCCCCTTATTTACTCTGAATGAAACTTTCCAATAAGTATAAGCAACTTTGATGAGTGTGGGGCTATTTTATTTCCCCACAGCCATTGTATGCTCCTTGGTTCCTTAGTGAAGGGCAGGTGTCACTCAAAATGGGTTAGTTACTTCTCAAAAAGTTTGTATCAGCAACTTTTCCTATATTCTTTGAATCAAGTTTACCACTAAAAGTGTGTGTATGTCTATGTGTGTTTTGTTGTAAAGTGTCTTTACGTCATGTCTAATTTATAGAAACCCTAAGATGAATTTATCACAGGGGTTTCTTGGCAGAATTTCTTCAGAGGCGATGCTGAGGGAGTGTGATTTGCCGAAGGTCAGCCAGTGAACTTGCATGTCTGAAGGGGACAGGATCAATCTCTGGCCACACAGTGTCCTCGTCCAAAATTCATACTACTACATTACACTAGCTTTTATGTATGTTCATATGTATCTATATGTCTTGAAGTTGTCTGTTGACTTCTGGCAACTTCATGAATTTCATAAGGTTGTCTTAGCCAAAAGGCCTCAGAGGTAATTTTGGCAGTTCCTTCTTTTTAAATATAGCTTATATCACCTGGTCTTCATTGGTGGTCTCCCATCTAAGTACTAACAGCTGTTGATGTTGCTTAGCTTCCAAGATCAGACAGGATCTGGTGCCTTTCCGATATTTAGGCACCTGATGAGTATTTAGGGACTGCTAATACCACACTGAACAAGGCACAAGGCAGGCCTGAAAACACACAAATTGCGTAACAGTGCAGCCACTGTCCCCATTCTGTATTGAGTAAACTCCAGATCATGTGTTCTTATTGTTTCCTTTCTGTTTGCTTTGTCAAGTATAGAAGGTGATCACACATCAAATTCTGTTTTCTGACTGATTTCGCTAGATGTTATGTTGTTTTGCTCAAGGAAGCATGGCTTTTGTGTAAATGCATAAAACCACAAACAGAACACAAGGAGGCTGTTTACATGCTGCTGATACTTCCATACATGAACAGGATGTTGTTGATATATTGCAAGTTGCTGTGGAAAAGATGGAAGCCAGCATGTCCAAGTTCAGAGCAGATCTTGAAAAAGTATCTTCTCCAAGCTCTGGTCCAGAAATTTTCAAAGCTGTATTAGACAGACAAGACAAATATCTCTTGCCTTTCCCAGATTTCTGGCCATGTTTCAGAGATGGTGCTATGCTACGCTAATGACTTCTGGAAAGCACTAATGAGATTTAGCAGTGGGGGATGTCAGCAAATGCCAGGAGATATTCACCATCAGAGGACGGTGCCCTACATACTGAGGGATCTTTTTTTTGAGACCACGGGTGTGTGTATCACAGTTTGCTTTTTCACCCTCTATACATTGCTTATAACAAATTATAAAATAACAGAGAGTTTTGGGGTAACGATGACAGGCATTTTAAAACTAGTTTTGCTTGGCTTTGAAAGGATTTTTATTCCAGACACATCATGCAAAAGCAAGTCTATCCATGCAAACTAAGCTCATTTTGTAGGATTCATTGCTATTAGCAGTGAGAGTGTAGAAGTAATTTTTGGCGTATATGCACTCATCCTATTCATTCCCATAACTATTCCCACATGGAGAATCCAAAATACAAGCCACCTTGTTAATGTTTTCCAAAGAAATAAGTTTTAGTGGATTGAAACTCCACTGGTCTTCTGCAAATCCAATAGATTCTGTACATTTGAGACAAAGTCATCCCAAAACATTCTTCCCTGCAATGAGGAAAGCTCAGAAAAATATGTCTGGTGTCCTATTCATTAGCTACACCATTACAAACTGGACTAACTATCCTATAACTTCTGGGGATTGGTATTAATGGTGACAAATGGTGAAATGTGACCTCAAAAATCCTACCTGTGCAGCTTGCTAGTATCTTGACTGAAGCATTTCAAATGTGCTGCAAATTGGAATGCTAGGGGACGATGTCTCTTTTGGTAAAACAAGCAGTTGTGGCAAGACCCCAAGGCAGTGGTTCTCAACCTGTGGGTCCCCAGGTGTTTTGGCCTACAGTTCCCAGAGATCCCAGCCAGTTTACCAGCTGTTAGGATTTCTGGGAGTTGAAGGCCAAAACATTTGAGGACCTTCAGGCTGAGAACCACTGCCCTAAGGCATCTCTCCAGCAGCCTATTCATGATGCACCTCACAACTGGGAGAGAACTGCAATTATCATCTCCAACACCCTTGATCTGCAGTGGCTTAGAAATGATTTGGTTGGGTTCTTGACTGGATAGGGTTTGGGGGTTGGCATCATCAGACATAACTACAATAATATAATTTCACTGCTGTAATTGACAGTGCATGATGTTGGTCCTTATTACTGCTAAAAAAAGCATCCCTGTCTACTGTGAAGTATATAGTGACACTGAGAGGAAAGAGAGAAGTCTGAGTGGATGGAAGAGGACATCATGGTCTTTACTGGTCAAAAAGTCCTTGGGTGTCTGCCTACCATAGGAACCCAACACTGATATACCACTGGCTTGTACAGAATGTGTATTATATTATCATTTTTGGTTCTCATTCTTGGGTATACTTGCTGTCCTGATATGTTTTG